CCTAAAGGATCCAAAAATGGACCCCCCGCCGCCCAATATGAAACCATTACTACATTGGATTGTTAGGGGGTTCCATTTTTTGGATCCTTTAAGGGGTCTGGGTTGTGATTGGGTTGCGGAAACATTCCACACACTGTCTTCTCACTATGCACTGACAGTCGCTACTGCCACTGCTCCCCGTTCTGTATGTCCTCCCCTTCATCACTATTGATTGATCTTTGCTACTAATATCCACCCAGCGTTAGCATAATCACCACTACCGCGAGATTTGGCTGTACCTGCTGAACCCCTGGAGCTGAAGCCCTGGGCTTGCAGCCTACAGTGTCTCAAAGCAACCCCAATCACCTGTACAATCCTGAAAAGTGATCCTTGTAATCAGCTATATGATCTGGAAAGGGACCCTTGCAATGCCCTTCATAGGGTCCCTGTACAGTGTCCTAAACAATCTGTCCCCACGCCCTATAAACTCTAAACCCTGAGCCCTAAGCCCTAGACCCTGAAACCTAAGCCCTAAACCCTAAATCTACAAAAAGATTAAACCCTACACCCTAAACAATCTACCCTAACCCTAAAGGTCCAAGTACCCAATTATTGGGGATTTAGGTTCTCTAAGGCCTCATTCTTTGGCTACCTGGATATCTAGGGTAAGCCCTAAACCATAAAACCCTAAGCCCTAAACCCTAAAACCCTTAGCCCTAAAACCCTAGGACCTAAACCAAAAAACCGCGGGCACTACTGAGGGGCTGCATAATGGTAGCTTTGGGGAGGGAAAGGTGCAGACTGACCTGCAAAGCTGGTTGAAGTAACTGTGAAGAGTGCACCAAGGGGTAGGCCTGAGTCGTACAGCTGGGGCCTTTTGCCAAGTCTGTCCTGGAGGGAGGTTCCGTTGACGTAAGTTCACTGAGAGCTTTCTCTGGGAAGATGAGCCTGCATGGAAGTAAGCTTTCTGAGTGCGGGGGCTTTGCAGCTTTTTGGTTGTGCAATGGGAAAGACCTGTTTGCATGAGTTTGTGGCGCTACCGAAGGGGCCGTGCCTTATTGGCATTTTCTCGTGGACAAGTACTGCGGGGAGAAAAGGTCCGAGAAAAAAAAAAAACCTAAAACCCTAAGACCTAAGCCCTAAAACCCTAAAACCCTAAGACCTAAGCCCTAAAACCCTAAAACCCTAAGACTAAAACCCTAAAACCCTAAACCCTAAAACCCTAAGCCCTATACCCGGCTGAGGCTACAGCCCTGGAACTCGAGCCTCGGAACGCCGCCGCCGCAGCGGAGCTGGGTGCCGCGACGGGATGCTGTTGAGTTGGGTTCGTGTATGTAGGGGCCATAAAAGGATATATGAGCTGTAGTCTAGACTCCTTAAAGGGGGTTTCTATAGGGGATTATTTAGGGTTTAGGGTTAGGATATATATATATATAGGGGGGGTTCCCAAAATTAGGGTTAGGGACAGTACCCCCAGAAATGGAAAATCAAATGGACAAGAAAATGGACAATGAATTGGAGACTTGGGCTATGTAGGATACATATATATGTATATGTATACACATGAAATATGAGCTATAGTCTAAACCACTTAAAGGGGAGTTATATAGGAGACTATTAGAGAGGTTATCATGGGGGATACTAGGAGTTTGGACTAAGGCTCATATAGAGTTTAGGGATGTCAACCCGATGGTTGAGAGTCATATGGAGGAATGAGATTGAGAAGGTATGTTGGAGAATGAAGACTCGACGTGTGCCTCATCCGACCTGTTGAATAATCCCTATTGATTTCTCATCCGTGTACTCCAAATACTGTGCCAAACATTAAGACCGTGCTAGCACGCAGTCTCTTTCAGCGTTCTTAACTGAGAGCTTTGCATAGGTTCCACCTTTGGTGCGGCTGCTTCAAGCCATTTTTCGTATACTGTGCCTACGTACGCTCATAGCATCCGCAACTTTTGTCTGCACCAAGCAACAGGGTGAAAGTTATGCCCGACTTATGCGAGATTCTACGCCCAAACTGCCCTGGATCCCCAACCGAGACGTCAACTTGGTGTAGGTCCTGGATGGAAGGCCAGGTCGTTTGTAATCTGGTTCATGCAAAGCCTTACAACAGTAAAGGCTTCCATGCGAACAGCAGGGCCCATGCCTGAATTCGGTGTAGTCTCTGGGTCCAATTGACATAGCCAGCATCTCTCTGCAACTCCATCAGCCAGAATGTAAACAAGTTCTTGCTAAGAGTTCGCAGCCCTACTTAGCAAGCCGCGTTGTAGGATGGAAGGAGGACGGCTTCAACCAGTGAGCTTTAGCTAAGCTCGTGTGCTGTGAGGTAAGATGACATGGTGCATCTAGAGAATGAGTGTATACATTAGGCGTCCCTTCCTGGAGACCAGAAACATAGAGTCTACTCCACGTCACGTAGAGCATCGCCAAGCTTCTGTCAGCTCAGGTGCTCTGCTGGGCTCTAGCACATGTGTTCTGCGAGGTGGGTCAGTGCAGGTGTCCTTTTGTAGGTCATAGTGACAGCTCTAAAACCTCAATGGCTTTGGATAGTTGTATCTTCCGAGGACACTCTGGATTGTGTGGGAGTTTCTAAAGAATGGTCCTGTTTAATTGTATACTTCCTAGCAAAGCCTGCCATGATTCCTAGACACCGCTTGGTGTTCCGAAGGGTGCCCTGTTTGGAGAAAGTAAACCCAAAGCCCTGGACGTTTAAGCGCTAGCCCTATATACCCTCACAGAACCCGTTTATGGCTATCTGAATTTTGATAAAGCCCCATAGACTTGAATGCCCACAGCAGGCTGGCAAAGTGCGAGCTCGTGGTTCGAGGATCGCAGCGCTGAAGGCCTTTCAGCCGGTGTATAGATTTACGATTTGGGGTCGGAGATGGTTTTTCCCCTAAGCTGCCATGGATATTGTGATTGGATTTTGGGGACTCCGGTACTTTTTTCTCATTAGATTTGGATTCGTTTGGATTTTCAGAACCCACTGCCAGGCCAAGCTCCCGCGGGAGCCGCCCGGTGGACAGGAGATCAGCTCATGAGGAGGCGCATTTCGGGTTTTGCGGGGGGTATGGAAAAGAAGCTGGAAAGCTCAGTTTAGGGTTTAGGGATAAACCTTAGTGTATTGTGGCACTAAATTTCCCAACATGTAGGGTATTTAGTTATTTAGTGTCATGCAGGCCGTAGACCCCAGACCTCCCAGTTAAGTACTGCTTATGGATCCTGAGTCTGCTGCTTCCTGGAGTCGTTTGTGGTGTAAAATTTGTAGGTAAAAGATGGCAGCCCGCAATGTGCCACTGGGTTGCACGAAATCCACCAACTCAAACCCCTACAGTTCAAGCCCCCTAAACCTCAGCCGATAGACCCTAACCTGCTAAACTTAAGCCCGTAAACCATACACCCTGTAAACCCCCACACCCTTCAAGCTCAAGCCCCTAAACCCCATAATATCACTACAAACCTAAACTCCCAAACCCAAAACCATTTCACCCGAAGTCGTCAGGGCGCATCAGTCGGAGCCTAATTCCTCAGCGGTGGCCTTTGCTGCAGCCAGGGCCGCCACTGACCAGGCCACCGTCTTCGAAAGGTAGAACTATGGGCACTTAAGATTGGTTATTTGTGTAATTTTGTGTATATATATATATATGAATATATATATAATATCATATAGTATAATTTCATATGATATATATGTATATATGTGTTTATACCTCCAGCGTAAAACCCTATGAGCCCAATTAGGGGCCCATGATTTGGACCCAGGAACCAGGGTAGGCGCCCACATTAGGTGCCCATGCCTGGGACCCTACAGTAGATGTATGGGGGGTTTCCCAAAATTAGGGGATATATAGGGGTTTTATAGGAATAATGGAAAAGAAAATGGAAGCTACTATTTAGGGTTTAGGGTTTCCCAAAATTAGGGGTACCA